TTTACTTGTGACCACTCAGTGTACATGCACATGCGTGTGACACAAAGAAAGATGTAGAGCCCTTTTGTTTCATATATTTCAAATGTCTTTTATGATACTTCTTGCTTCTGTTATTATGTACCGAGTCCTTTGCTTTTCAGAACAGTTCAAGAAGGCAGGAATTAGCATTTTTAACAACAACTGGAACAATGTTCACGACTTCACTCCTGTAGCTGGAGAGCAGAACTGGACTCTCGTACCTCAGGTACACTTACTTGAAGTTATATAAACAATTAACCTTTTTTAATGTAAAATATCATGTCTGTGCGCACTACTCTCTTTTTATATATGTTTTGGAAGGGTTTTTCTCAATTCTTAATAAATAAATAAATATATATATATATAAAATGTATTTTAATTTTTAATTGCAAGAGTTGATCCGTATTCCTTTATTTTCCAATGCCGTTTAGTACAAGGGATATCACTGTCTTGGAAATTCTAAATCTTTGATCTACACACATTTTTATGATCTGAGAATAAGAATATTTTGTGTTAAACAATGCATTTTTAGCAGTACACACACTACTTTCAAAATGCCAGTGTCAAAATATTGTTCTGATACATGCTGTGAGTTTGTCATGTGGCTTGCTGATTTTCATTTATTCAAAATCATTTTAATATTATATACTCAATCCTCTGTAATAGCCTGCCCAATCAGTTTGTTTAAAAGTGTTATTATATAAGTTATTGTGACTTAACATTTTCTTATTTTTGAAGGTTAGATTAATAGTTGATTCCACAGTCATATATTTTTTGAAGAACACAAGAAACCTTGTTTGTTTTATATATATATAGTTAAAACATAGATAATGTGTTAAAACATATTGAATTTTTCTTTAGGATTTGTTTGGTTAAAATTAGATTGATTTTTTGTGTAGTTTTTATTAGGTTTTCAATTTTGATAAGCTAATAACTGTTTTAAAACTTGCAAAAACAGTATGATACACTATCAATTGTACATAATAGAACAAGTAGGTTCTAATATTTAAAAAATAAGATAAAGCTTTCCACAAAAAGTCAATGGATTTCACCTTTTTTTCACAATTAACAAGTTTTTATTCTTGTTTTTCAGGATGTAAGAGTTTCAGTTATTCCCCACAATACACAAATCAACTAGTTTTCTTCTTTTTTTTTCACTTTGTTAAAGTTGAAAAGTTCCTGCCATTGCCTACAGAGAAATAACAAATTTTTTGTTTTTAGAACATTAAAGTTGAAGAGTTTCTGCCATTACCAACAACAAATGAATTCTCTCATATGAAAATTTCTATGGAACCGTCCAGTAGTGTTGTTCCTACAACTTTGGGCATCAGAAGCAAGATGTCAAAACAGGTGAACATCTCTTGAAGACTATATACCATAATAATGTTTTTCATTATTAAAGGAATTTTATAGAAATTAATCAATATCTATGTTCAAGAAATAATGAAAATTTCCTCAAGAGGGTTTGAGAAGGTATTCAACATCATTATAATGTCAGACTCTTATTCCTTGTTCTTTAATGACTACAGTTGAAAAGATCAGCAAGATTGTCTTTCCCTGTCTTGTGTTTAGTCTTCATATGTGACTTTTATGGTGGACTATATAGACAACAGTTTCCAATAAAAGATAGTCTTAAAGAAGTTGTAATCAGTTACGTTCATGCAACCACACTTGAATTTTACTTATACGTGGTATAAAGAAGTTCTCAGAATGTTGGAACAAATGCATCATTCATCATTTTTACTGTGTTGATAAGTGATGTTTGGTTGGAGTGTGATATTGTTAGCCTACAGAAATGACATCTTTTACAGATAGTCAATAGTTATTAGTGGTGTTCTGTATGATATTAAACCTTGAATTTTGTGTGTGTGTGTGTGTGTATATATATATATATATGATTCCAACATAGATCTGTAGTTCTAGATACACAGTAGGCTATTCTGTTGTTGAACCAGGATCATACTTTCTGTTTATTACTTCTCGTTTTGCCCCCAATGGCTCAGTTGTGAGTCTTCTGGTGTGTAATGCTTAAATTCAGGTTTCGATACCCGTGGTGGACACGGCACAGATAGCCCATTGTGTAGCTTTGTGCTCAACAAACAAACAAACAACACTTCCCGTGTTTCAAGCATTATATCCACTGATCATATGTTGGTGATCAAAGCTCCTCTACAGTTAGACTGAGTATCATTTTTGAGATCACTTTCTTTCAGATTTTTTTTTTTAGCCTGGCTTCACTCAAAAGCTACTTGCATGCACACTTAGGACCGCACTTAATATGCAGTAGTTGTCATGGTCATTATATTCCTAATCTCTCATTTTTTGAAAGCTATATGAGTTATAAATCACTCTTTTGGAAGTAGATATTTTAGATGTGGCAGTTTCCTTTTCTAGAGATGGCACCATTTTTTACCTACATCCTAAACCCCAAAATTTATGTCATTTGGATGTTCTTTTTCTGTCTGCTGCCCCCTTCCCTAGAGGTTTCTTTCTAGACTTAAGTGTTTAAAACTTAATTCTGAATGCCCCCACTCCCATCTTGCATCAACTTTTTACTTTGCTTACATCGATCTTTTCAATTTTCATCTATTCCATACCCTTTCCTTGTATGTGTGAAATTGTTTTTCACTATTTGCTTTTTCATACTAGAGCAAAGCTTTCTAAACAGTTACTCCTAAATGTTAATTACCAACAGTCATCAATGAATGTAAGGTGTAAAAATAAGCAACATGTAGGTTCTCTACATTTAATAGGATTTACAACACACCCATTTTTCATGTGGTAGGAACTCTTTCTTATTTCCAGTCAGTGTTTTTGTATTATTTATACTAGTCAGCACTGAATAGGGCTGTTTACAGTACAGTAATGTAACGTATTAACATTAAATGTCTATAAAGAATCCTTAAGTATTTGGTTGGTAATTCCAAGTAATTAAGTGTGTTATGCCACAGGCATATTGCTTAAATAAATGTAACGTTACAGTTAGTTAACTCTTCTGATTCTGTTCACTGCCATCAGAAAAAAAGAAACTAAAAAACTGTTGTTTATTCTTTCAAACACATACATAAGCTCTTAATATTAGATCTCATGATTAAGTTTTTAGGTGCCATATTATAACATCTTACATCTAATAAATGTGTGTCCTTAATGAACAAATAGGTTAATATGCTTCAATGGTAAAAAAGAAGGAACATTGTTTGAGTTATCTGTTATCTGTATGTTAGATATATGATATAATTCCCTTAGACTTTAAAACACTGAATCCTTAAATTTCAGCTGTGTTATAGGTATCAGTTTTAAATACACAAGTTCCTTTATGTTGCATAATATCATGACATTTGATTTCAGAGCTGCCTAGTGGTGTTCTTCTCAGATGGCCAAGCTCAGCAAAGGGCCTTATCATTCATAAAAAAACTTGAGCTAACTAATGTAAGTATTAGTACTAGTATCTTTTAACTTACTTCACTCACCTGATCAGTCTTTTTTTTTTTTTTCAGTTAGCTTATTTGTCTTCTAGAGCAGTGATTCTCAAATCTTTTTGTTTTCAAACCACCTGAATTGTTTTTTTTTATCCCAACAAACCTCAGTAGGATCTATACACTATTCTGTTACATCTTTTCCATGATTATGTAACTTTCCTGAAGGGAACCCATGGACTACAGATTGTTAACTACTGTTTTAAAGCATCTTAAATCATGGCAAAAAAAATTTTGAAGTTTATATTTCTTGGCATCATTTAAAAAATTTTGTTTAGTTATTAGTGCACTATTCTTCTTAAGGTAGAATTTAACAAAAACAAGTAAGGTACTTGTTTCAGTTTGCTTTGTGGAGTTGTAACTTTTAAAGTTTTTTTTATTTTATTTTTTCTCACAATTACTTAATGTTATCCAAAATCTGCTTGCTTGACATTTTTGGTTTAGTAAATTAATTACAGATTGGAATTGTTGTGATACATGAAAATGAACAAGTAAGAGCTATAATTCACATTACTCTGTTTTTATGAACGTTGTGTTACATTGCACCAGACGTTTTTTAGCTCTTCTGACTTTTGAGGGTTATATAATAGAAACAAGCTAAGCTAAAGAAGTTTTTTGTTTGAATGTGACGATTCATATTTATTTTGGTAACACAGTTTAACAAGTTTAAAAAAACGGGACTAGAATTTGAAAAAGAGAAAGTGAATTTTAAAAAATCATGTTAACATGTATATCATGAACCACGATAGTGGTTCATAATAGGGATTGCAAGGAAGTGCACAAAACCCTGAAAGAACATTTGAGCAAAAAGCATCTTAAACAGTAAAGTTCTGATATCATATCTTACCTCTGCTTACAAATAGCTTTTCTCAACTTCTACTGCCCTCTAAATGCACAAATATTTTCTCACCACTAGCCTTGATACTCCCACCTACCCTCACATGTATTCAAATGAAACATCTACATCCTATCATGTAAATGATCATGCAGCAACCCTCTGCCAATAGGAGTGCAACACAACTCCTATCATCTCTAATGTCCTCTCTTCCATGCAGCCCGAAATAATTTCTTGATTTGCGTTCTAAGTGTTAAGATGTGTTTTCACTCATGTCTTCTGTCCTTTTGCCTTGGGTTGGTTTGCTTCCCTCCTCTTTGTGTGATTTGCACATGGCAGCTTTTCTACACCAGGAGGTTTTTTGGGACTTTCCTGACTCTTTTGAGTCCATTGTTGAGTTAGCCCAATTGCATATCTCCCTTTCCTCTTTGGCATCCAATTTATCCCAAACCTCTCCTGTACCTGTTTCTGTGTCTTGATTTCCTCCTTCCTCTCCCTTGCTGATTCTGGCCTCTCGTATTCCCAAGGTTTGCTGTCAGTCCTAGGGGTGACATCTTTGGGTATACTGTGGTCTTACTGACTACAATGTGGGTTCAGGACCTATGGGAGCCAGGATCTTCAGCTTTGCCCATATTTGGAAGGACTTTGCCATGGACCCTTGGGTTCTGAAGGTTGTTTCCGAGGGTGTGGTCGTCCTTGCTTTTGTATCTCCTCCTCCTTTGTCTCTGCATCCTGTTTTCTTCCCTCCTCCTTGGGATCCATTGTAAACCAGCGTCTTTCAGAGGCAGTTTAGGACTTTCTTTTCAAAGGTGCCATTGAACAGGGAGATTCCTCTCATCCATGTTTTTATTCCAATCTGTTTATTGTCCCCAGAAAGAGAGGAGACTGGCACCCTATTAATGATTTGTCAGCTCTAAACTGCTTCTAGATCCTTACACATTTTACAATTGAGTCCTACTTCACCCTTTATTGGGTTTGTGCTCCTGGTCTGTGAATGAAGAAGGTTGATGTGTCAGATGTGTACCTACACATTCTCATCTCCCCTGCATCCCAATATTATCTTTGATTTGTCCATCGGGGTGTGTGTGTTTCAGTTTTTGAATCTTCTGTTCGGACTCACCTTGGCTCCCTATGTTTTTTGTCAGATGGTCTGTCGGTGCTTGCCTATCTTCTTCATTCCCAGGGCCATCGTTTCCACCATTATACGAAGGACTGGCTACTTTTAGCTTCCTCACAGGCTGTCTCTGCCATTCATACTCAGTTTCTTCACAGAAAAGTGGCTCAGGTTGGTTGGTAAAGGCGAAGTGTTCCTCACCCCTACACAATACCTTGTTCATCTTGGAGTTGTTCAATTCCATACTCATTCAGCCCCAATCTTCACCCCTTCAGTTGAGGGCTGTGGAGCTTCAAGTTTGCAGGCTTTCCTCTTGTCCTTCTCCCACTGCATGAGAGATTTTCTCTCTTTTCAGGGTGAGGGCTTTCAGAGAAGCCCTCATCCCTCTTGGCCATGCTCCTATGCATTTCCTATAGTGGGTTTTGTTAGACCAGTGGAACATCGTTTGGGGTCACTTCCTTCCTCACAGACCAATTTTGCCTGGTGGTTGGATCAAGAAAATACCACTATTGTTGTTCCTCTTCCTCCTTGTCTGGAATGTCACCTTTTTATAGATGCTTCTTTTTTCAGTTGGAGTGCACATCTGAATACTCAGGAGATTTCAGGGGGTGGACTCTTTAAGAGTCCTCTCTTCATATCAAGCTCCTCATAGTTCATTGGGCTTTAATTCATTTCTTTCTGGGACTCCAGGTTGGTTGGTAATGGTGCATTCAGACAACTCGACGGTGGTTTTGTACATCATCAGACAAGGGGGGCTCTTGGTCAAGACACCTCTGTTTTCAGACATTGAATCTCTTGTATTGAGCCCACAGTCATCAAATTTGTTTCTTGGCCTGTCATGTTCCAGATGTCCTAATTCTTTTGTAGATAGTTCACTACGTCCTGACAGTGGATGCTTTCAGTCAGGATTGGCTTGGTGTGTACCTGTATGCCTACTTTTCCATTTGCCTGATTCCCCAGGTCCTTTCCATGAACTAGACCACTCTGTGTCAGGTTCTGTTAGTGGATCAATATTGGCTGTGATTTCCACTTATGCTACAACTACTGGTGTCACCTCCTCTTCTTCTCCCTATTTACCCCACCCTCCTTCATCAATCCCAATCCAGCATGCATCATCTGTCCATTTCAACCCTCAGACTTCATGGCTTTTGTCTGGTCCCTGGTCCAGAGGACTGGACTTTTGCAGCATGTGGCATTCTTGATTTCCCATTTTGTATGTCCTTCCTCCATGGCAGCGTACCAAAGAAAATGGTACATGTACCATCATTGGTCCATACATTGTGGTTATACTCCATCCCATCCTACCCTTCCCCATATCACTTCCTTTCTGATCTGGCTCTTTGACTCATGTGGTTTCCTCTGTTGTGGGCTATCATGTAGGTTTGTCAGCCACATTTCATTTACACATTATGTCTGTGTTTTCTATTCACCGGTCCTGTCCCTTTTGTTCCATTCTCTCTGCAACACCTGTCTCTTTCCGGGATTGGAATCTCAATGTTGGCCTTCATGCTTTTACTCTTCCTCCTTTTGAAACCTTTTTGATCTGTTCTGTATGTCACCTTTCCTTGAAGACCCTTTTCTCCCTACTGTTGGTGTGCAGACATAGTTGTTGAGATGTGTTCCTCTTGATGTCCATGCACCTTGTTTTACAGATCTTATGTGGTCCTTTTCCTCAATCATTCTTTTCTGTCTCAAATTTTGTCTGCTCAGGAGGGTAATTCTACCTTCACACCTATCTTCCTTCCTTCTATGATTGTTCCGATCCTGATCACCTTCGTTGTCTGCTCAGGGCTCTTAGCTGTTACATGGTGTGTGCCAATTTCTTCCATGGTTCTTGTTTCCTATTATTTATTCCTTCCCATAACTTTTTTCCCATTATCCTTATAGGTTGGATTTGCTAGGCTTATTTTTCCCTATCTCCTGATGATCGTCATCATTTCTGTGTATCTTCTTATCAAATTCATCACCTTACCATATTCATGGCTGCTCATTTCCATCATCTATTGGAGGACAACACTCCCCATACTTTTACTCATCATTATCTTCACCACCTAACCATTTCTTTGTCTACAAGGTTTTGTCTTCCTCCCATTGCAATTTTGCACTCCACAATGTCTCTTTCAGTGGGTAAATGCTCCCTTTTTCTTCATGTTATTTGCAGATGCCTTTGTTGCATACTTGGATCCTGCTTAATGGCAATTGTTGTCTGCCCAGTAAAACCTGTGTGTCATATGCACCCACTATTGAAATGGGGTGGTCTACAAGATCGCTTGTAGGCATGTTTTGCGGTATTTTTCTTTGTGAAGATGTTTAATCGAGACCATATACTCGTGGACTAAAATGATTAAAGCAGACAGGGCTTACTGCCTATCCCAGATGATCTGTGTATTATAGGTCACAGGATTGGCCTGCTTTTCAAAAAAAGGGTATCTTGGTCACTCATTGCACTGCCTCTGGTGCAGCATTCCTCAGGTCTCTTCAGTGTACTGCTTCCTCCCTTCTTCCAGTGGAGTATGAGAGTCCTTGCTACTTACCTGTTCTTAACCACTGCGTTGGTGGACCATGGAAGCTTCGTCCTGTGTGTGCTCAAACCCACTCAGTTCTGATTAAGGTGGTAGTGTTCTGCTGGTATAGATGGCATTTAAGCTCATTCTGCTGCAGACCTGGTGTACAATTCCATATGCTGTCAGGTGTTGAAAAATGCATTCTGTCAACATGCAGTTTGCCCCTCTGGCTAAGGCACCCTCCTTCCTACTATCCCCCTCCCTCTAGATGTTGCTGCAGATATGATGATGGTTAGAGCTGGACCAGCCATAGAAGTTCTTACTTGTGTGGCCATATACCCTTCTCCTATTGCAGACTAGACAATACTTTCCAAATACTGCCAGGTGATTGACTGGAGATGCACCCCCATTTTGCTGTTCACTTTTCTCCTGTCCCCCATATATCTGTTCCTAGTGGATATGGTGATGATTGTGTGATATGTGCACACATGTTTAAGCTGAGGAAGTCCGTCCATTGTTTCCACCCATATTGTCACAATTTCTCTTGAACAAAGAGTATACCTTGCTCAGAAGTGGTGCAGTCTCCCATGAGGGTATTGCCTTCCATCTGTTCACACTCCGCATGGTCTTCCTATGGCCACTTTCTAAAGAGGGATCATCTTCTCACTGGACCCTCTGCCAACTCAGTGTGGGATTCTAGCTATTTATGAGAGAGGTAAGGTATCATATTGGAAGTTAACATTTTCCTAAACTGAAAACATGTTTCCAATAGATATTTTCCTCTTCTTACATTTCCCACCTGGCCTCCCCAATTCTAGTGCCAGCTTTAGATGTACTGCCCAATCTTGAAGTGATTTTGAGCTGCACGGAAGAGAGGGCATAAGTGATGAGAGGAGTTGCATTGCACTCCTGTTAGTGGAGGGTTGCTGTATGATCATTTACATAATAGCATGCAGGTGTCTCATGTGAATACATGTTTGAGGGAAGGTGGAAGTATCAAGGCTAGTAGTGCATGAAAATTTCCACATATAGAGGACAGTATAAGTCAAGAAAACCTATTTGTAAATGGGGGTAAGTAACTATTGGAAGTACATTCTCAGTTTTGGAAATGTTAACATTCGGTTTAAATAACACTTTAAAACCTTTACTATTGACTGCTAAGACTGTATATATATATAAAAATGCACAAAAAGTATGCATGTTAGACTTACAAGGAAAAGAAAATCCACTCAAAACGGCCCGTTGGTAATTCTTCTTGTTATTATTAGTATTCTCTTGCCAGCCTACAACAAAAACGACTTGGTATAGTTTCCCAAAACCTTTTGTAGAAGACTAAATAAGGTACTGCAAAGGTTGTAGGGGTATTGAAAAGTTGATTTCTTTCTTCTCTATTTTACATAAGCTAAAAACCATCATAATTCTAGTGTAAACATTATCATTACCCATCGAAATTAGCTTTCTTACAGGTATCTGATGTTCCTTTAAAAATCTTAAATTCAGGTTGAAACTGGAATTACCAGCCTGTAATAGATGAACATTAGATTACTGTAACATGTTGATACTCAATGCTTTATACACTATACAATTAGTGTCTTTAGGGAGCCAACCCCTATATTATGTGTGAAGTGAAGAGTAAAAAAAAAAAATTCAATACACATAATCTTTATTTTTATCACACACATTCATAGAATACTTACTTTAAAAGACAAGAAGGTTTATTTAAAGTGACGTTTTAGATGTATATGCTTTATTTAAAAAGGCTGCTTTTCTACTGGTATAATTTTATATGCACGTAGTGGGGTTGTATCTTAGTGTAGGCATATATTTGTCCTTTGCTATACATTATATATATAGAAAACATAGTTACACATTTTACATCTCAAACTCATGTGATCAAATAGTCATTAGCTATAGTAAATCATTATGAACTGTATCAGCTAGCTACTAGCTATGTTTATTATCATTACATTGTATAAAGTTAGCTACCATATCAAGTAATCCTGTGCCCGCAGTTGAACATAAAAAAAAAGACAGAAAACAACATAAATAGAAAATAAGGAATTTAAAAACCAGCAAACAGGGAACTTAAAAAAAAGTAAGGAAACAGGGCTAGAGATACTGTAGACATTATTTACTCAGACTACAAATCCCTATTTTGACTCCACCAAATGTAATTCTAGGTAACAGCATAGAGCCACAATACGGGTTTGTAGTTTGAGTAAATAATATCGACAGTATCTCCAGCCTTGTTTCCATACTTCTTTTTACAATATTTATTTGTGGGTTTTTAAATTCCTATATTTTTTATTTATCTTGTATGTATGTAACCTTTTATTAAATACTTTCAAATTTACATTTACTTTGTGTAAATTTAATGCAATTTCATTTTTTTTGTGTTGTAAAATGTTTATGTAAATGTTCAAGGAAAGTATTCATTTACTGTTTTTAAACTCAATTCCATCTTGGTAATGTTTAGATATTTTAGCAATTTGAAGGCAATGAGAGATTAGTGACTTGTCAACACTAAGGGATCAGTTACTTATTGTAATCATATAGAAGTTAGTGGCATAGAATAGGAAGTGAGTCATGACAGTTATGAATGCTAAAGATCAAATAATTGTTGTAATCACACACAGTGATGTGTGTATAAGTTTTAAAGATTTGTTAACCTTCTATAAAACACTTGAGTTTATGGACTTAATGAAAATAATGTATTTCGTGACTTAATTTTACTTATCATATTTGTTTAAAGTCTGTATTTCTACGGACTTACAACGCTAGAATCTGGGTTTTGATACCCGTGGTGGGCGTAGCACAGATAGCCCATTGTGTAGCTTTGTGCTTAATTACAACAACCATTCTATTAAATTGAGCATACATTTGTAATTTGAATTATTTTTGATGTTATTCAATTAATTTGTATGTTATAACTAAAGTGTAATTTTATCAACTATGATTCAATACATTTCATATGATTGGTAGTCTGGATGTGTGTGTTTTTTACGTATCTTTTGTGGTGTTTATGAATTGGGAGATTTATATCACTGTAGAAAAATTTCTGAGATGAAACATAACAGTATTTACTCAATTTATCACTGTATAGAATGTTTTGATAAGAACTAAACAAGTCCAGCTTGAGAAAAATGATGCTGAGAGAGTGTTTGGTTCCAGTTCTTATAACAGCGTTATCTCCAGAGGTAAGAAAAGCTTTGGTAAAAAGTTTGCTTTGGTTATTTTTAGAAGCAGTAAAATATTAGTTTCTTTCTTCTTGACATAATCCATAAAATGTTGGTGCTTTATTGTCATCTGTATTTAGAACACAAAACTTAATAAAGTATTATATTATCTGGAAGCTTCAGCTAAATTTTGTTGTGTTTCTAATACTCTTCATTTTCCTGAAGATATGTTGGTAGTGTTCAAAAGGTTGCTTTAAAAAAAAGTAAAAGAGAGAGGGAGGGTCAGAAATGATTTTTATTTATGAAAATAAACTTCCTAACAAATATTATTATTATAAAAGCTGATAAGTGAAGAAAACTAAGACTGGTGCTTGAGCCCAGGACCTATGGTTGAGAGGGCCAGTACTCTATCAAACTTGTGTTGTCCCTATATCCCTTCACTTATAAGGCTTTTTAACCAAAAGTATGAAGTTTCATACTAATTTGTGTTGTTATGGTCAGGCAATAATGGAATGAATTTCTGTATTTCATTTAATATGGTCAAAATTTAGAATAGACTTTATTCTTTAACCCTTTTGCCACATACATCTTTTTCAGCATATGTCACAAGGTTTTAGTGAGTTACAATCAACATTTAATTAACCTACTTTTTTTCTTGGTGTATCAATAAATACAGCATAAAACTTAACTGATGATCCATATTTTAAAAGTATATAAATTTTAAGTTCTTCATTTTATAAGGCAATATAAAAAAAATCTAGAATTTCCCCTAGTGTAAGAATTGTGACATTTGTTTTCTAGGCATTCCCTCTTCTCTAATTTATTTACCACCCCTCCAAGAAGTATGAAATTTAATGTAAATTACTCATAATATTGTCATTGCTCAGGCAAAGCATAATTTTCATAGCCTTCAATCTTATTTGGTTATTACTTATAGAGCCATGAAATAGACAATAAGACTCCTCCTGCCATACATGTCGCAAGAGTTTCTTTCAGAAATTGCCAATAATTCTCTCTGAAGTTCAATACTATATTATTTAAAACCAATTGAAAGCCAAGATTTTCATCTGTCAAATGAGTATTATATTACGTTGTTTTCTGTAAAGAGAATTGTCAATTTCTATTTCAGTTGAAGCTTGACTGCCATAGGAAACACATCAATGAGCTTAGTTGAAGTTTTAATGGCTTTTGTTGCATAGTTAGAAAGCTAGAAAAAATTGTGATACTTATAGGACAATGTCTGCTTTTTGCACATTATGTTCTTTGGTGCATTATTTAATTAAATGAAAAATTATTTAATGCAGTACTGCTATTAGTATAACAGAGTAGGATTAAGTGTCATTGACAGTCAACAGCAAAAAAAAGAAAGACCTAGATAAGTACATTTTCTTGTTTTTCATGTGTTTTCTCTACTTATTATTATAAAAGTAACTAAAAGGTAAATATAGAAACTTTTTATGTTAGATTAGGTGGAATGAATAATAATAATAATATCATAAAAAATGTTCACGAGGTACACTCGCGAGTAGTTTGTGCATTATGTAATTTGATAGAGTAATCTAGACTGCACGTTTGCCAAGAGAGTTACAACTTATAATGTTACTCTCCACTTGGAGCACTGAGTAAGAGTATCTTCATGAAATTTTGCAGATTATCAGTAAACATTATAAGGCTTTCGTATGCAAAATATCAGATTTTTTTATTACATTTTAAGAGTTTTTAAGTAATGTTTTTCTCATTACTTTTTTTTTTAAATGTTGACTATCCAACATACAAAGTAATTTTGGCTTTAAGATTAAATTTCAAATTTTACCTGCAAAATCTTTATAACTTTCAGATAATTATCAAACGTTTATTCAAAAAAATTTTATATTTCATTTGTTATTTTCACTATTGTATTTCTGTATGGGTTTGGTCGATTTGACTCACCTCATAACCACCATAAAAATTAGGAAATAGATATAAATTTTACTTTTTTTGTTCTAGAATGACTACAAATTATAACATGAAAACACAAAGGTTTATTCTAAATAGCTTAAATCCCATAACATTATACATCTATATATATTTATTATTTTTATTTTATTGACCTTTCAGCTGTGCCTGACTAACATTACAGAAGTTACAATGATGCAGTGCACGTGCACTCATGTTACCATATCCAAGAACATAAAACTGGTGTTTCTTGGCTGTGTTCTAGTGGACCAGTATTTTGTAAAATACAATCACATTTCAGTTATAATACATTATATATGTATATACATTATTACTATTTACAAATAAGTTCTTAAATTTTAGTTCTTTTTCTAAAAACATAAAACAGTAAATAAATAAGTATAGAACACAAGTATCTCTTCTAGTTATGAACTTTGTACTCACTTGCTGCTTGCTGTAAGTTGCTAAGCCTTGTCAAATTTCACATGTGGAGGATGTAAAAGAAAATAATTTTTCTAGGTTTTATATATGCATTTTAAAATACCAAAAAATTATAAATTACTATATAAATACTGCAGAATTCCACTACAATTTATTAAGTTTAGTAATTAAGCTGTATTTGGGTCTAAAAAATATGATTTTTCGAGCTCATGTCTTACTTTACTGCTTGGAATCTAGCATGAAAAAAAAAGAGTTTCCCATGCAAGTACTTTGCAGAGGCTGAGAAAACCATTAGGGCGATATTCTGAGCTTTTGATTGGTTATACACACGTCATTGGGCAAAGTAGGTGTACGTAAGCAAGTGGAAGAAGTGGGCAGGGCCACCTTGGTTGATTCAATAAATGTATTAATATTTCAGAAAATAGAAAAAATAGGAGGTTCTTGTCTTATATTATAGTTTGTCAATATAGGTAATTTGAGTATATAATTCATAAGAAACTATAGACTTTGTATTTGGACATCACAAATATCTAATTTGAACCAGTGCTGCAGTCAGTATATCACATGACACACAAAAATCGATATTTAGGTGTTTTTTTTTTAATATCTACTTTTAAATTAAGAACTTAACTAATGTATAATACTAAAATTTGAATTATAATCTGCAATTTGATAACAAACATACTGACATACATTCATAACATAGTAGTTCAACAAATTTGAATGCGAGTATAAATGTGATGACATGGCCTTTGACCAGTGACCATAAGTAGATCTGTGTCTGTAGAGTTAAGGGGGTTTCTGAAAACATGCAAATGTGAGATTTTTGAAAGGAAGAAAACTACTTTTAATCTTAATGTGGAAGTCACTTAGCACTCGGACTAGTGTATAGAAATACTATATATATTCAGAGACAAATCTTTAGTAAAAAATACTTCATTAAAAATCAGATTTTTTATGTACAAAAAACTTGTAATGTTTACTAAAAGTCTGCCAAATTTTGTGAAGATACACAAAGTATATTAAAAGTATGGAAATTATAATGAGTACAAAAGTGGTTATGAGGTCAGTCGATTCAACTGACTTCATAGTGAGAGAGTTAATATTGAATGAATTAGTGAAACTGATTAGATATTTTACTCATCTTGCCAGTATTTAGGAAGATTCAATTGAGCTTTAAGACTAACGTGTACAAAGTTTGCTTAGAATAGTATCTTTGATTCACTCTAGGTCATGTCATTGCTTTGGAATACAATGGTGATGAATCCATCACAGCTTGCCAGGATACAGCAAAAGCCATTTCTACTGAGACTGGTTTAACAGGTCTGGTTTATGTCAGCACATGTCCTGATGCAGCAGCACAACAAATAGAAAACTTTTTCAACTTTGCTGATATGCACATGTCTGTGTGACCTTTCTAACATCTTTGTTGCATTTTATATATATATCACACTAATAGCACTTGCTATGAAAAAAAGCTACAGAAGTCAAGTCACTGTGTGTGTGTGTGTGTACGTTTAAGAGCAGCTTGATGTTAAGACTGAAAAGTTAGAAGTTTGTTTTTGTGTTAAAAATGCTCAGTGTACTGGATTATTTTGCAACATCCATGAAATTGTAAGCAGATCATGTCAACCTTCTAGTCATTTTAATCATTGAAATAATAGATTGAAAAATAGAAACTACGATAATAGCTTTATGTTTTGCATATGAATATTTGAGCAGTTTTAGTTATTGTCAGTTTCTTAAGACTGTGTGTTATAGTTGGGTTAAGCAATTTTGTATGATATGTCTCATATATTTATGTAGCACATGCTGTGTATTGCATGGGTGTACTGAATACACCAATCAAACTCGTAAGATATGCATGACTTTGTTTTGTGTAACATGTTATATTGTGTCAGCATCGTGTTTTTGATTGTGAACAGCGTGACAATTTTATATATTGTCCTTGAAACGGACCTGTGGTGTTAACAGGTTATAATTAGAATTTTTGTTCTGAAGTCTTTATCTTTTCCAATGGCTGTTTAATCTAGTAGTCACACACTGATAAGTACTGACCACTGCATATGACCAAACATAATATCAATACAATGCATCTGATTCATAGTTTGAAAGAAGCATTTTATACTTATCTGTGGTTGTTTATAGCAGTCATGTTTTTCTTTTTTTAAATTAATAATGTGGATGGTTGAAAGTATAAGTTTTTACTACATTCTTTTTAAGCACATAAAACCATAAATAACATTAGTTTGCATTATAATAAAGACAAAATTTTATGAGAGGTAAAATGATAAATATTGGAATCAATAATAATATGAATAACATGTACTGTAGATTTGTGAAAAGTCAAAATACACTGAGATACATTAGCTTTAGAAAAATTCAGCCATTAAAAGTTAAACAAGCGTAATGGTTTTTATGAAGAAAGTTTTTAAATCATCACTCTGCTATTTAGATTGATAATAACACTTTCACATAGGCATGCACTAGGAAAAAAACCTAAAATGAACATTTTCTAACCATGTGATCTTAATGTTCCTTGTGTGTTTTTAATAATATTTTAATAATGAGTAACAAGAATGCACAATATGTAAAAAGAAACATTTGCTGCCAAGTGTCATAAGCAACAAAGAGGGCAAAATATATCTAATTGAAAAAACATTTTTAAAGAAAGTAGGAACTATTACAGAAATATACTTTTAAGGTGAAAGCAAAATTCAACAGAAATTTGCATGTTTTCTTTCTGTTTTATTTATTTTTTCTTAAAGAATATAATATGGTGGTTAAGTTTGTTCTTTGTATGTTTTTGGAATGATTTATTACTACTGCTGTTTAAGAAGAAAGTTCTTGCCATGAAAGTAACATACCTGGTTCATGTTCTAATTTTTACGTTTTTTTATGGTTAAACCAGATTTTTAACAAAATATTTAATAACCATCTGCAGGTTTTGTGTTCTTTTCAAAGGTTTGAAATATACATTTAAGACGTGCATCATCGAAGAACAAATACATAAATGTTAGAAAAAATATTATCAATGATATTGATGTTTATTATTCCTGCTTGTGTATAAGTAGGATGTTGTGTCATAGTATTTTTTGTTAACGTTTTGTAGAATTTTAAGGATACTTTTGGGAAGTTATCAAAATATAATTTCAGTTTAAAATATTATAAACATGAATTTGTTTCAAATCATTATTTATTTATACTTTTTTGAATTGTAAAAATGTGATATAAATGGCTAACTTTTGTAAAATGTCTACAAGTGTTTTACTTTTTAGTGTGCTGTTTTTGTCTGTTTATTTGTAAATGTTTTAATTTTTAATTGGTGTAACAGATCTTGACTTGAATCATATTTTCTAACCCTTCTTCTATTCTAGTATTTACGTTGTGGATTATATATGAATGTAAACATATTTGAGCCACCACTAAGTATAAAAAAGGATCAACACCTTGTTGTTCTGATCATTTCCTCTTTATTTAGTTTGGTTGTTTTTAAAATGGAAAACAAATAATACTCTTCTGTTGAGACTGGAGGAGCACCTGAATTTACTAGAAACTTTGTGGTATTGAAGCTTAATATAATATGATAATTACTTATGGACCAGCAAAGCACATTTTGTTTCCATTATTTATACTACATAGGAGTGTAGTAAATCTTGGTTTTACAAAATCTGAAAAAAAATTTAAATCACTGTAAGGGAATGAGAAATATGTGGTTGGAATTTTAGCCAAATAAATTTTTTCAGAAAAGAACAACAAGAGTCATTTAGCTGAAATGTGGCCATACATTTCTCTCTTTTTCCGTGTGGTGATTTTAGCCATTTTTCTGTATTTTAAGGTTTTTTTTATACTGCAAGTTCACTTGTGTTACTGTTTTGATGTCACAGAAACTTCATTCCGTTTCTTAAAAAAAGTATATATGAACTTTTGATTTGAAGATAAAAATGGATTCAAAATACATATATTTGCCTGTAAAAATATACTGGTAAGATAAACTTCATCAGAATGAGTCAATGATCAGTAATTTTAGTATTCCTGTTGTTAAGAGCTTCTTTATTTGCACAGTTCGTGTATGTATTTGTTATGGGTTATACTAAAGAAAAACATTCAAAGTGAAATTTTGCAGGCCATTATAACTAAAAGTATTTGTAAGAAACATTCTTATATTTTAACTTGTTAAAAAAAGGTTAATTTTTATTTGTATTAAAAAGGATGTATGCAATCCTCTTATTTTTTATGTGAATTAAAATGTATTTTGAGAATTTTTTATGGTAGTTCATGTAACTATGCATATAACATTTTGTAAATTTTTTTTCCAACTAAACTCATTGATAAAAGGAAGCCCAATTATTATCTTCTAGTGGCTAAGCAGAAGGCTTCTAGCACTAAAACTTAGGTTTGAACTCCATGATGAACACAGTGTAGATAGCTCATTTTGCAGTTTTGTGCTAAAGCAGACAAACAAACCCTGTTTTTTTTGTACCAATGTCACAATGTGAATAAAGAAAATAATATGATTAAAAAATATATTGATTACTCTGTGTGTAAATAAAAAAAACTCTGCAAATAATAATTGCATTCTGTTTGTTCTTCTCTTTGTAACCTTTATTGTTAACTTACATTAATAACTAGATAGTATGAACTTCTCATAGGTGTTCCAAAGTCAGAAAGACTGGTCATCATGAGGCTATTGTTTATGTTTTTTAGAAATTTCTTGTGTTGGTTCTTTAAGAAACCAGATTTTTAAGAGAGTATCAGTGAAGTAGCATTATTTTAGATATTATATGTTTTTAGAGGTACTTTGGGGTAATGACCTGTGGTAGCCAGTTTTAATATCAAAAATCTATGGTGATTTAGAAGTTTCATTGATATTTAGGGTTGTTTTATAGATAGCTAAGAATAATGACCAACCAGTTTAGATATGATAGATCTTTGGGGAAATAGAAGTATGGTTGAGGTTTTATGGTTGTTTTATAGGTAGCTTGGGATAATGACCTGCAGTAACCAGTTTTAACATCAAAGATCTTTGGTGAGATATAGAAGTATTGTTGATATTTGTGGTTGTTTTATAGATAGCTAAGAATTATGACCAACCAGTTTAGATATTTTAGATCTTTGGTGAAACAGAAGTATGGTTGATATTCATGGTTGTGTTATTTAACTAGTTTATTCAAGAAAGGTTCTTGAAAAGCCAAAAGTATAGATCATTAGTCATTTTCATGATGTTTTACAAGTTCATTAGTTTGCACCTTCACGTCCTATAGAAACTGGTTTTGATTGGAACTCTAGCAGATAGACAGACCATTATCCTTTTATCTTAAACACACAGTAGGTTTTAAAAATCAAACACTTTCTACAGAGAACTGGGATGGTCGAGATAATTGAGGGGATATACCTATCCTTAGTAGTGCCCATACGTTTTCTGTGTACTAAGAACTATAAGTAGAACAACAGAGAAACTAAACATGACTGTGCATATACATTCTTGTAAAAGATGGAGAGAAGATGTAGGAATGTTGAAAAGTTTAACTTTTGGCCTTCTACAAATTATCTGTGTCAGATTCTCTATATAAAATAAGTACTAATTTTTGTGATTCTTTTTTCAAAGGCATTTTTTTTATGTTTTTGAGACCATGATTGTCTGTTCTATTTTTAATTAGACTTTGTATTTAGGAAGGTTAGTATTTAATAAGAGGCATATTCATTGTTTCTAGTGTCTTGATTTTCTTCTGTGTGTATATATATTTTTCGTATGATCTTATTTGTAATTCTAAATCTCAGCAAGTGTATTTTTTACGTTTAAAATTTATTTTATTTCCTTCATTTCCAGCTATAACATATAGTTGTGGTTTGAAATTATAAATTTTTTAGGGATAATGGACTGAGGTATGAATCTGAAAATCAAACAGTTACTGTAAACTGCATGTAAGGAAATAAACCTGTTGGTAAACTATATTAAAAGAAATTACAGGCTGTAAACCAGAAACAACTCTGATTAAGAATTATATCTTAAGAAACATTATTCACTAAAAACATGACAGAAATACAGTACTGATATTAAAATTTAAGGAACAAACAATCGGGTTTGTAAACTATATCTCACTAAACACCCTGAATTTAAACTACATGTAATAAACAAGAAACAATTATATTGTAAACTGTATCTCAAGTAATCACCCTGGGCGTAAGCTACATGTAATAAATAAGAAACAACTATACTGTAAATTGTATCTCAATTAATCAACCTGGGTGTAAACTACATGTCATAAACAAACAAATCTGCTATAAAATTTATTTTAAGTAACTACCCTGAGTTTAAAATACATTTAATAAATAAGAAATATCTGTACTGTAAACTGTACCTCAAGTAACTAATCCAAGTATATACTACATATAATACACAAAAAATAACCCTAAATATAAGGTATTATGCATCAAACATTTATGTCTCTGTAAGCTTTATTTTAAGAAGTTGGAAAATGTGACTAAAGTATCTGTACAGAAAGTAACTCTATGTGAATCAAAGACCAACACTGAAAGTTTTTTCCAGTAAAACTAGCTATGAATGTATTTCTTGAGGAAAACTAGCCTGAAGATTACATTTTAAGGAACAACCTGACTAGAAGGTATTTTCCAATAAAACTGACTTAAGCATATTTTTCTAGTAACATAATTACTATTAATATTACATTTTAAGGGTAAAAACATTTACTGGAAGGTATTTTAATAAGAAAACAAGTTGAACTATATCTCACAAAGCAGTTCTTTGTTGAAGGTGGAATCTTAATGAGTTATATAGATTTGAAGCTTCTTTTTTTTTTGGGTGGGGACAATTCTGGAATACATGTATATTTCATTTGCTAAAGATTAACACAAGTTGAAAACTGTTGTCTTGTAGAAAACAACTTTGAATGAAGACTGTATTTTACAGAATAATGTCAACGGGAAGCTGTTATCAAGTAGAAATTGTTGTTGTGTATAATGCAGGAAACATTCTGGGTAAAGACAGTATATTAATGAAAAACAAGTTGAAAGTTAAGTTTTATTTAATTACACTGGATATATAATTGGAATATTAAATTATTTATTTGCACAATGTTTCGTAAATTTTTAATCAAAATATAACAAAGTATTCTTCAAATATTTTATTGACTTTTCAAACTTGCGAGTAGGACTCAAACAAAATACTTATTCCCCAAAGAATGGTTCGAAAAATACAATGCAGAAGTTTGCTTGAAAGTATCTTACTGTGACCATGCATAAACCACAACCAAAAGAAAAAAAATTGAGAAAACTGTGTACTATGCATTAGTTTTTATAAACATACTAAAAATTTTTAAATATTTTGAAAAACCCATTTTGTACTTTTAATAAGAATCATACAACTTTTTTTTTAAGTAAAAATTCATAATTTCTCATACATAAAATTTAAGCCCTAAAAGGAGATGCCAGAACTATGTTTTGCTGAGAATCTGGAATGCTTTTATAAATGTGAACAAAAGCTTTAAGTAATACTATAAAATATTCAACCAATTTCCTATACTATGTCAAACCTACAAGTTTTCTTTCTTTCTTAGTGAATAACATTTTTTTCTTTCTGTTGATAGTTATACAAAAACCCCAAACCATTGATGGGATTTATGAAAAGGTAAATCAGTGAGAAACAGTTTCACTAAACTAAGAATATTTGTACACACATTTTTAGCTTATGTAGAACAAAAATTTCAACTTTATCACGTCACATAATCAAATGCACTTAGAAATACTCTTACATAGGTAAAAACCTTTTTGTTTTAATCCAATATATAAATATTGAAACATGCGAGGAGTATATTCTGTCCATTTGGTTTGGATATACTCACTGATGTTCTTCTAATATGTGAAAATAACGGACAGATCTAAAACAGAAAATAATTTTTTTTAATAGAAGTGATTACTTTCAGTATAACCTGAGGGGTTTTGTGTCTTTACACTGGTTCATTTGTTTATCTTATTTTGGATAGTTTCTTATGCGGGTTGCTTTTTTATATTGATAACTTTATTTGAAAACCATGTTAAAATGTAAACATCTAGTAATTTGTGTTGAAATATTTTATATATTTGAAAAAATAAGAAAGGCCACGTATTTTATCTGCTTATTCGATTTTGATGTGATAGATTTAACACCAAATTTGCTTGACAAAAATTTTTTAAATGCGTTAAAGTGTAAATACATGTTTTCAAAGTAAAAATTCATTATGAATGTTTCACAAATCTCATGAAGCTCATGCATAAGTCTAGTATATCTGAACTGTTTTGTATTTGAAATGTAAGTTGATCCAATTACATTTTTCCCAGTATACATACAAATAAAAAATATGAAGTTTTCCATATTTCTCAGCAAGTCAGTAGACTAGCAGTTTCTTCTTTAGTGTTTCTTTTTTTTTAAATAAATGCTGCTAAAACTCGTATCCAAGAACAACATCAGGTTTTCCTGTGTTAATATTTACATTTATTGCAGCAACAGTTAAATCACAGATTCAAGAAACATTGTTGCTAACACCCAAATTATTTTTTAGTCAAGTGGCTGTTTCCTTACCAATAACTTAAAATGTGTGCACATGTGTTTGTGTATATATATACATACACAAGCACAATCCTATATATTATAGATATATATCAAAAATGTTACAAACGGTATTAGGCATATGGCTGCACATTAAAATATTTTACATTTTCTAAATGTATTTTTAATTTACCAATAGTAGAAAGAAGTTAAAACACAGAAATTTGAAAATGAATAGAATCACTGCCTCAGAAAATTTACATTTTATCACATGTTTATACTTAAAATCACTAGAGGCATATTATTTATTTTGTACATTTATCAATAAAAAACTAGGTAAAAGAAAAATGGTAATAACTTTTTTTATAAATTTAAATTTCTTAATAAAAAATACTGATAATTCTTTTATACAGATATTTTTTGTAAACATTATATTGGAATTAGAATAATCATTTACATTTTTTTAAACTTTAAAAAAGGTACTTTTATATAAAAAAATGCATTGTTGTATGCTTTAGGAAGTCCATGCTCTTAGTCACTCCTGATATTATTAGGACCATTCTGATGAAAGTTGTGTTCATATGGAAAATCCAGAATCACAGGGGGGACAAAAGTCTTTCCTTTCACTAATTCTTCAAGACCCTGAAATAGTTTTAATGAATAAGTTACATTTGGAATTAAAAGCAATTAAATCTGTTTAATATTTGAAGGCAAGGTTTCGAATGAAATAAGAATCTTAATAGCAGTGTATTTAAACAATAATAACAAATTGTGATGTTTCATCACGTCATAAGTTTACAAAGTTCCATACTTCACCAGTTAAGACATTTTTCAGTCATCATCATTAAGCAACAAGACTGCTTACATAGAGAGTAATTTTGTTGTTGTCCTGGCCATTAAGACTAACAAGCCTTTACTACAAGTAAAACACATCATCAGTGGTTTACAGTAAGCACTTTAAAAGTAACTATTGTACATTTCATGACATAGAGACTAAGGTGTTTTATATTTCAAAAATTAGTCATCAGAAATATTATGAGATACTGACAGATAACAAAGCATAATGAGACAATTTTACTGATAACAGTTCTGGCTCAGGTGTTAGTCATTAGAAATATTTTAAGATACTTACTTGCTAAGTACCAAAACATGGTTACTTTCAAAGTAATGAGATATCATTACTAATAACAGTTCTGGCTCAGTTAGAATATATGAACTAAGACAGTGTATTGTATCCCAGCCAGCCTGGTGAAGAGCACAATATGACAAACAAGATGTATTTGATATGCTATGATACATTCCACTTATTGAAAATCCTTATCGAACTAGTACAAAATTATGTGCTTGACATTTTTTATCAGTCATATACTGTTGTGACATCATATGCTTTAAGCTCTGTTTCTTTAATATGGTTGTTTCCTGTGCTGGTGCGACAAATGCTATTATAATTTGCGTTTTTACACCCAGAGACTACCTGCACTTATTAACTTATTCGTATATGTATATAATAATGTTCTGCTTTTTTCTTTAGTACAGTTTTTGAAAAGTTGTGTTTTTAAAAACAAACAAAAAAACTGTAACAGACGATTTATGATTAGTTTCAAAATCACATCAATAAGACTAAACCATTAAAGAATAATTTACTAGAACTACAATTGCACGAGTTATAAATACACAGGCCTGCGAATTTAAACTTCATGAAAGTCGGTTTGGTTTTAATAACGGATTTTCCATAATTCAGCTACTCAGATTTCGAAAATAATATTCATTTTTTTTTTCTATCACGTAAGGATTTTTTACAAATCGGGAAGAAAAAACTCAAATTATTTAGATCAAATTATTATTTCGTTTACGACAATGAACATTAATTATTATTATTTTTGTTAACAAAAATACAAACAAACTGAAGAAAATGGAAGAACATTGATGTCAAGCGAATATGCATCCTCATTCATCCTGATGTTTTGTGAAATCTACGTCTTTTAATATCAAAAGTACGTGTTGTGGTCTTTCTTTTATGTATTGCGTTATTACATTTTGTAAAAAATCTGTACGTGATGAATAAAAATGGATATCATTTTCGGATTCGAGGTACAGGAATTACAATAGAACATGTAAAAATTTTAAGACAATAAAACCATCGCAGGTCTGTGATATATTATAAACAGAAGGTCACAAATGGTTAGTATTCACACACAAAAAAAGGCTGTTAAGCCATCTGTATCAAAACAACCTTATATTGCTATATATAATATAAAACAGAAATAAAAGAAACTCTCCAAGTTTAATTGTATGACAGGTGTTATATTTAGCATTCCAAAACAAATATTACACGAAGTTTACTAAATAACAATCTCTCTAATTCAAAAATTCTTTCTTTATTAATGTGGATGTAAAACAAATTTAAACAGAGAGAGAGAGAGAAAATGTTATTCAAAATTTTTCAGAATGTCTACAAGATGCAAAACTCCTTATTTTCGATGTATTAATACCAAATTGTACAATATACAGAGGTTGAGTACATTACATGAACGTTATTTAGAAGCATTACCAAGTCTTTGCAGTCTATGTCACCATATCCAGTCATGCTCTGTCTGATGACTGTGCATCATGAAAATAGCTCTGCAGCATTGTTTCCGCTGCAGAAGTCTCCGTCATAATGCTGATACGTCTAAGGCACACCCCTGCTACCTGCATGCTTTCCATAAACCATCTAGTTTGTAAAAACAATGGTTATCTAGCTCCTGTTTCAACAGTCTGGTCACAGAAATTCACAGTCTGAATCTGGTGACTTGACCGCTATTATCATATGAAAAAACACGAATACATATATTATTCTCCAGCTGCTTGAGGTACGGGAATGTGTACATGTGAGTTGTTGCTTTTTTCATACAAAGAGCTTTCTTGATTATGTTGCATACTGTTGCTTTGGGTGCATGGACTGACCATTGAGTTTGTGGATTTTTCATCAAGATGCAGCACGTTTCTTACCATGTCAGGGGTATGACTTGTTGCAGCTCTCTTTCTGGATGGTCCTCGTACCCCAATTCCAAAGCTGATTCATATTCCTTTGTTTTCCAGTGCTATTAAATACAAGGGATATTTCCATCTTGGAAATTCTAAATACTCGATCTGATCTTTATAATCTAAGTGTATGAATATTTGTGTCGGAAAGGGCTGTTACACATCCTTCAATTTTCGGGAGTATCACACTACCTAGGAAATGCCAAGCAATGTCAAAATGTAGTTCTAATAAAATTACGTTATACCACAGCCTTATATCGGTTGTGGTTGTCACATGACTTGTTGATTTGCATATTTAACTTTGTTTGTTAAATTTCGTGCAAAGCTACTCGAGGGCTAACTGTGCTAACCATTTAGAATATTGAAGTGATAGACTAAGGGGAAGACAGCTAGTCAACCCACAACCTACTCATTGGCTTCTATAATCGAATAGAGACATTTTACTGTCACTCTTATAATGCGGAACGTTTTTTTGCGTGTGTGGTAACGTGGCATGAACCACAGCAGAGCCTCTGTACCACAGTCTGACCCGCTTAGCACTGAACCGCGTATAGCTCTGTATATTCAAAATCAGTTTAATACAATTCACTCAACCCGCTGTATTAACTTCTTTTCCCACTAATTTACCGCATGGTAAAACTATGTAACTTATGTGAGCAACTTATAAGAAACTTTAGTATGATACTAAAACCTCAACATTTTATAATCCATTCAATTAGTCGGGGCTTCAGTAAATTGTAATAATAATATTGATTTAATAACATTAATTCTGAATATGCTATGTGTAGCTTGAAAATAAAGATAACAAGTGAAAATTATTAAATTGATTTCCTAATAAGAATTCTGTTGAACTGAATTAATTTGTATACTACATTATAGAGTCAAGTTTCTTTAGAAATAGTTACCTCTCCGTCATACGTCACCAGTGGAGAAATTTCGCAAACTTCTGTTCTTTTGGAGTAAGGTTTTATGCTGTAAAAATAATTTAGTTATTTCAAATAAGTCCAAAAATTAAAACAGCGGAAACAACGTCAACACATGCCTCAGAATTTTATAATTTCTGGTTTTAATCCCTTACTGTACCACTATTTTGAAAATAAAAACACCGTTAAAAAACAACTGATTAGTGAAACAAATTCAAAAAAATACTTTCAAATGTCTAAAGTTACAGAAAATAAATTATTAGAAATTAAATATAATAAAAGCTGAAATATTTTAAATTTATATAACTAACTTTTCTTAGATTTCTAGGTAACGTATCTTGTAAAAAGAGGATTAATATATATTCTGTGTAGCAGTTAATAATTATTTATAAAGAAAGGTCAACATTTTGGAAAACTAAAAAATTTTATCTAAAAAAACAACGATTATTTTATACAGAATTCAAATGCATGAGATTGTTTTCCAGTCACATCAGGGATTTTACTACTTTTTAATCTTGTACTGTAAGTTATTATTTTAGTAATTAGGAGACTGGAAACAATCTCATTTTATTGAATTGTGAAAAAATAATCGTTGTTTTTTAAATACAATTTTTTAGTTTTCAAAACTGAACATTACACGCGTGCCAAAAAAAAACATTTTTTAAAAAAAAGGTCAACATGTTTAAAATATATTTTGTTGTCAAAGTATGTATCAATATGTCATATCAGTTGTTAATAATACCTGTTATTAAATTACAGAAGTTATGGAGATCTTACCTTTTGTTTTGAGTATCAGAACTATCATTATTGTGATGTCCATGATCATTGGCAGTACCGTTCTGATACACCGAAGAACCACTACAATAAAAAAAAAAACATTTAATAACATATTACACCAACGCGGTTCTGTTGTTAACCGCCTGAAACCTTGGTAAACAACAACAACAATGAGTTTAAACTGAATAATTATAATAATGGTAACGGCTTATTGCCCATATATTTTATCACTAGATTTTAAGTTGTTTATCATTGGTCAAAACTTCACAGTTGTCTTTATTACATCAAAGGTGAACGGACGATTACCCAACACTGCACAACTCTGACGAGATAGCCCCCCAGTGCCACAGCGGTATGTCTGCGGACTTACAACGCTAGAAACCGGGTTTCGATACCCGTGGTGGGCAGAGCACAGATAGCCCATTGTGTAGCTTTGTGCTTAACTTCAAACAAACAAACTGACGAGATAATTAAGGAAAGATAATTTTGTATAAAATGGTATAATTTTACCTTGTTTTGTTACAGTTTTACTGGCACGATCATGTATTTGTTGACGCGTACGTCTATAATAAAAATGTTGTATATACTGACAACTATTTCTTTAGTGTATGAATGTTACGGTTTCACTGCCATGAGTTTATATGTGGGACACGATATGTACGTTTTAACCACGGAAATTGCGATATTTAGCAAATGTTTTGAAAAATGGGAATGCAACAAAACAATTTAAAAGATCATAAATATTGCATATTAATTTTGAAATGCACGAAAATTATTTAATATTTATTATAATCTAAGTATTCAATATTTCTTGTGTAACGAATTTGTTTTAATTTATTTTAATATCGACGTTGTTTAGATTGAGTTTATATTTAAAAGCACGCATAGCTTGTAGTGTTAGATATGTATTGAGCAACTCCCGCCTATTCTCAAAAGTTGTAGAAGATTCTCGAGAATGAGAATCAATAACATATATGTGTATGTAAACGCGTTAACCAGTAT